AGCCGGGCTCGCTCTCCCCCTCCCCGACCTACCCACCCTGCCCCGCTTTCTCCTCTGGAAGGGGACAGGGGTGGAGGTGGAGGGCACAATTCCCTCTGCCCCCCCTGCCCTGATAGGGAGCAGCCCTCCGCAGCCCTTAGTCCATTGGCTCCTCCCCGGAGGCTGGAACAGCTGTTATGGAAAGAAGAGGCCCAAGTCTACCAATGGAAACCAATGAACCAGCAAACTAACGAACCTCCTGGGGTTGGTCCCTAGGAAGGGGCCGAGTGGATGGAGACCCTAACCCTGACCCCAGCTCCCCTGCCCAAGGCTGTACCTGGAGGAGCTGAGCATGCCTGTTTTGATAAACCAAAGTGGAAAGATGATGGAGCCAACCACTTGACTTTAGCCTTCCTCTTCCCCGATGTGCTGTCCCTGCAGAAAGAGAGGGGTGGGTGGGTAGTAGGAGATCAATCCTGAGACGATTCTGGCAGGATTTGCTCCTCTGGCAGGGGAAAAGCTGTTGTCCAGCTATGGGACCTCTGCAGGGGCACTGGCATCTGGACTACGATGCCCATCGCCCAAACCATTGACACCCTGGCCAAGGGGGGCTGACCCTGGCAAGACACGGCCACCCTCTCCCTCCATGGAGAATGGCTGACCAAGTGCCTGCAAGAGATGCTGGGGATGTCCCCGGTCTGCTGCCCCTCCACCCCGGCCACAGGCCTCCCTCGGGACTGACCGACCACCCTCACCTCGGCTGGGTCTTCTGGGGGGCGGTGGAAGTGGTGCTGTCTTCCTCGCGCTTCCGCTTTCTGGGGAGGGAGGGAGGAGGGTTGGGGGAAGGATGGGTTAGGGTGGAAGACACCCCGGGAGGCCTTGTAGGGGCAGGAGGAAAGGGGACAGAAGACATGAGGAGGGGATTCTGAAGGGCAGGAGGAAAGGGGGCAGTAGGCATGGGGAGGGGATTTGGATGGGCAGGAGAGATAGGAAGAGTTTGCATGGGGGCAGAAGAGAAAGGGGCAGGAGAGAAGGGGACAGGAGAAATAGGGAGAGGATGCATGCGGGCAGAAGGGAGGGGATTTGGAAGGGCAGGAGGACAGAAAGGGCCAGGAGAGAAGACAGCAGAATAAAAGGGGGCAGGTGAGATGGGGACAGGATGCAGCCGATTGGGAGAGAAGGGGTTGGAGGACATAGGGCGAGGAGGATGACAGGCAGGAGAGAGGCGGAGGGTGGGGACCTGACGAGGTGGATTGGCCAGGACAAAAGGTTGCCTTGCCCTACAGAGGGGAAAAAGGCATTCTCAGTGATCAGGAGCCCCCCCCATGAAAAAAAATCAGGTCAAATCAGAGAGGAGCCCAGGAGCCCTATGGCCCCCACCCAGGTTCTTCTATCTCCGCCCCCCCCATCCACAGCCACCCCTCATGGCCCTTTGTGGAGAAGGCTGGTGGGGCTTCAGAGGGTGGGGGGCACTGGCTAGAAAGAGGGGCCCCTCCCACCATCACATCCTCCCCCTCACACCCCCTTGGTGCTCCTTCTCCAGGCTCAACCCTGGCTCTGCCCTCCCCCTGGAGAGACGTGGGGGGCAGGAATTCAGGAGGAAGGAGCACCGTGAGGCCCCCCAGGGAGCCCAGGCTGAGGGGGTCCCCGCAGGAGACAAGCGCTTCTGGCCTCTCTCAGGGGCCAAGAGGCTGGAGGGGGATATTGCTTTGTTGGGGGGGTTCAAGACAACATGCCCTTTCTTACCTGTCCAGACGGGGGGGCCTCCAAGAGATGCGGGAGGCTGTGGTCTGGAGAGGCGGGAGGGTGATGGGCTGTGGCCGGCTGAGCCGGAGGGGGACGCAGGGCCGGAAGAGGCACGGGGAAGGCGAGGGCTCGTAGGGGAACCCTCGCCAGTCCTCCACCAGCGCCCAGAAGGCCACCACCACACCCAGCAGGAGCGCTG